CCGCCGCAGCCGTGGCGGCGGCCGCGCCGGGCGCAGCGCCGCCAGCCAGGTGCGTCGGCCGCGGCCCCAGGCGGGCGGCGGGCGGCGGCGCCTTGGCCGCAGAGGCGTAGCTCTTGAGGCCAGGCGCAGAGGGAGCGGCGGCTCGCTCCTTGCCCCCAGTGCCGTCGTCGGACGGCCGTGCGGCGGTCTTCTTCCCCGCCGCCACCGCTGTGCCGCCGCTCGCAGGCGCAACGCCGACCCCACCCGGCCCGCCCGCGCCCGCGGCGCCGCGCAGCAGCAGCCGCGCGAGCGCGAGCTGCGCAGCCGCGCGCGCCTCCCGCGCGTCGGTCGTGTACCGCTCCTCCGGCAGTGCCTCCCACAGCGCGATCGCCTCGCGCGCGGCGCTCGCGTCGCCGCAGCGCAGCAGCCAGCGGTGCGCCTGCATCACCTGCGGCAGCGTGAGGCGCTCGAGGCCGCCGGCCGCGAGGCGGCGCGCGGCGCCGCGCCAGTCGCCGTGCTGCGCGTGGAGGCGCGCCGCGTGGGCGGCGTCCTTTGTGGCGGCCGCCACTTCCTGCGTAACCGGCGGCGCGGCGGCATGTGAGGAGAAGAGTGATGCAGACCCGTGCAGGCACAGGGGATCTCACGAGCCACACCCCAGCTGAGGGAGCCGCGTCGCGAGCGGCATGGGGGGTACGATGCAGCGGCATGACTAGACAAGTGTGACGTAAACTGGTGCAGGCACTGGCCCTCTCACAATCACCACATCAACTGAGGGTTTGACACACACATATAGTCAACGCGGTCAACAGCAACGCCAGACTGGCCTGGTAGCGTGGGGCCCAGCGTGTCACTGGAGGGCGTGCCGACAGATGCGCCCCCGCCTGCGCACCTGCCACAGGCCGGCTTGGAGCAGAAGGCCGTTCCTCATCGCCGGGTCCGACACAAATTTCGAGGCCGCCAGCAGCGCCTCGCGATCCCCCTTGGCGCGCTGCATCTCCGCCTGGCGCGGCAGCGACCGTGGTTGGGGGTCGGCAAGAATTCAAACTTTGAGGGATTGCTCGACCTCAAACTCACACTCTGCAGGGTTAGAGGCAGGCTGCTCACATCGTGTCGACCCAGGTTGCCCAGCACAGGCGCCTCCGGGTGTTGCGTCTCAGCTGTTTGTCGAGCGTGGTGCTGCCGCCGCTCCCTCGCGACAGCCAGGTTTGAATTGGTCACCCTGCAGCACTGCATGCAGGCGGCCTGCCTGCGGCATCAACGGAGCCGTGCAGTTTGATCCACCCACCAGGGCGATGGCCTCGACCTTGGCCGCAGGCAGCAGCGCCCGCAGGCCCTCCCCATGCTCCTGCAGCAGCGCCCAGCAGCGCGCGCGCCCCGCCTCGCCCTGCGGGGGACAGTGACGGGCAGAATGCGGCAGGGTTTGTGACAAGTGGCATGGCCGCGTGGTAGCAGGATGTCTACACACAGGGCGGATTGCGGTGATCCCCAGCAGCAAGTTTCCAAGCCAGCAGCATAGTCAGCATGGCAATTTTCACGCCACTTCGGTCGTTTAGGGGCTTAGTCAACCCTGGTGCAACCAGCTCAGTCGAACACTGGTCAAACACTGGTCAAACGACAAGGAGACCTCACCTCCTCGTAGCGCGCCAGCCACGCCTCTTTCAGCAGCCGCCCCGCGGCCAGGAACCCGCCCCCCATCCGCGGCAGTCCCGCCGCCGCCGCCGCCCCGCCGAACCCGGCGCCCGCGCCGTGCGTTGTGCGCTGCAGCTCTGCCTCGGCCATCTTCTCGTAAACGTCGGCGAGGCCCTCGCGCCCTGCGCAGCGCCTGAACTGCGACCGTACGGCTTCCGTCTGGCCGAGCGCATGGTACAGGCGGCCGGCCTCGAGGTGGCACCCGGCCGCGGCGAACGCCTTGGCGGCGAGGCGCAGCCACAGGGCGAGGTCCTGCGGCGTCGGCGGCTGCGGGCCGTAGCCGGGCGGACGGGGCTGGTCGGGACCGTCGCCGCCCTGGCTAGGCGTGGAGGACGCCGCGGCGGCGGCGGCGGCGCCGCCGTCGACGGCGCAGGCGAGCAGCGCGTCGGCTGCGGAGAGCAGCACCTGGCGGCGGCGCTCCTTGCCGGTGCTGGTCGCGGCGGCGCTGGCGGCCTTCGCGGCGCGGCCGCGGGGGGCGGCGGAGGGGCCCGAGGCGTCCTCCTTGGACGGCGCAGCCTGCTTTGTGCGGTGGAATTTGGAGGCGCCATCCACACCAGGGCATTGAGAAGTGAGCTTACCTGCATCAGCGCAAGCAAAGCCGATGAGCAGCCCCGAACCAGATCAGCCCCCACGTTTGCCTTACTGTCAACCGCTGACGCCGACCTGCGTCCCTGCGCCATACGTTGCTCCCTGCCCCGCGCGCCCGGCCTCCATCCCGGCCGTGGCACGCGCGCGCCCGGCGGGCCGCCACACCTGCTGCGACAGCGTGAAGAGATCGTGGATGGCGTTGCAGGCCGTCTTGCGCACCGCGTCCCCTGCCTGGTCGTAGCACTTGGCGCTCAGCGCAAACATCTGCATGCCTGCATTGGGGCGTGACGGGTTTCATGGTTCATCCAGGCGAACCAACGTGAGGGGTAGGGGAGGAGGTGCAGGGGGCGGGTGTCAGATGTCTGCTGCGGGGGCAGGGGTTTGCAGATACGATGGCATGCTAGCAGGGAAGGGGTTGTGCCGTGGGTGCAGCAGTACTGGGCAAGCGAGTGTCGAGGTGGGCTCTACCACCATCATCCACATGCAGGCAATGACCCCGACCGGCCCCGGTCCTGTGCTCCGCTGTTGGCACCGCTTGCTGAGGTGAGTGCTGTGCGGCTGCGGCCCGCACCTGCCAGGCTGTCAGCGCGCTTGCGCCACTCCGACGGCGTGTTGCTGCAGCCAAAGCGAGGTCCAATGCATGGGTGGTTGACGGTTGGTTCACCAGCAATTCAGCTCCCAGAAAAAAATCAAGCACAGATGCTGTTTAGTAAGATTGACGACGGGAACTTGCATACAGGCCAACTTGGGGTTGTAGTGCCCACCCTCCGAAAAACACGATATGAAGCCCCCTACCCACGGACCTGAGAGTGCCCCGCAGGAGCCAGCCACCGTCGTCGCCAGGGCCGGCGCCGCCCATGCCACGAAGCCCACGCCGCACGTGGTTGGCGAGCGAGAGGGTCCGCAGCCAATGGTAGAAGGGCGCCCGGCGCTCGGGGGAGCTTAGAATGTGGGCGTTGGAACGAGATGGCGGGCGGTTTCAGGTTGGTTGGGGTTGGGGGGACGTGGACAAAACTTGTGTTATCAAAGCCATAGTGGTGGTTGAATTTTGACCGCCAAAGCCACAGGTGCAAATTGCAACATTCCTGGACCATAGCTGAAACGCAGCAGGCGGCTGTCTGAGCAGCCAGCAGCCTACGGCTGCGCTAATCTGCTTTGAGGCGGGCCCTGAGCCACCTGTCGAAGAACACCTGCGGTGCGGGCACCACGCAGCAATAGCGAAAGCCAAAATGTTTTAGATCAGCTTGGCTTGGTTGATCATGAGACATACTGGCCTGCCGGCCACACCCCAATTGCACATAAGCAAGCCCCATGCGCGGGCCAGCTCGGGGCAGCGCCGCGACTGCACATGCTAGGACGTATGAGACGATGCACAGAAGGCTGCGTAAGCGCGTTGTCGACACAGTAACGAAAACATGCAGTGGTGACGGAACAGAGAAACCACAACAACCCTGAGGCCCTGAACCTCAAACCTCAAACCCTGAAATTGGCACAACCGCAGCACCCACCAGGTTGTTCTTGGCCCTGGTGATTGCCACATACCTGCGTGATGGTCACGGCGTGCAGAGCGAGGCACCAGCCAGTGTGTGCTGCACAGCGCGAGTATCATGCCGTTGTGATTGAGACCGCGGCCTGACGCGTGCACTGCTGCTCCTTGCGCAGATGAGCAAGCACGCATGTGCGTGCCTGCGACTCGGCGTGAGCGGTGGCACTACCAGGTTCCACAGCATCAGCAAGACGCCATGCAACACGCTGATCAAGCAAAAGTAAGGGTCATGATGAGTGAGCGATACGAGGACAAGATGCACCGCCCCAGCCCAGCTGGACCAGGTATCTCACAGCAGCTTGAGCTCATTGCACAGCAGGGTGTGGGCGGCGGGGTCGAACGCGACGGCCCGCAGCCACCCGCGCTCCCGCTTGTTCTCGTCCCCCTCCAGGTCATGCGGCGTAAAGCTCGCGCCCGGGGGCGCCTGCATGACGCCGGACTCAATCTCGCTCAGGAGGGTGAGCAGCACGCTCCACTCAGACTGGGCTGGACTGTCGGCGAAAAAGTCCACCTGCATGACGGTTGCCAGATATATGGGTGGTGCAAAATATCATTAATGCTCAGTCACGCCAGGGGTTGATTTCCAATGTCTGGGTTGCCCTGTTTGGGTGCAAGTGCTGGTTCGGTAAAGGCTCGCGCCACACGCAGGCGGCCTGCTGTGGCAAGAGGCGCTCTTTTGGCCAGGCATCAGGCAGGTGCGCCCCTCCCTTATGTCAATGCTGCTGCTGCACACGCATCCCCCCCTGTCTTGCCCTACCCTTGCGCCAGGCGCTGAGCTACCATGCCCCCCCCACCCACGCATAATCGCTTACTATACAGACGTCTGAAAACTCCAGGCCCTGCGGCGAATTGCAAGCGTTGCGCAAAACACTTCAGCATTGCTGCAAACATCGAAGTCTGTGTTTGCAACGCACATCACGTTGATGACAGCCCACAGCATACCTACATACACCTCCCTAAGCGTGTGGCGCCTGCAGCACCGTACTGTGCTAGCAAGCCAGCACCAGCACCAGCTCCTGTCCCAGACGCTACACGAGGAAGGCATGCAAAGGGGGAGGGGGCGGCCGCGTTCCGGCCCCAGCTAACATTGGACTGCGCGACAGACATGATCAACTCACCTTGGACTGCGCGACAGACATGATCAGCGCGTTGGACGCGCGAAGCTCGTCGGGCAACCGCTCCACCGCCGCCATGTCGCGCACAAGCACCACCTGCGGGGGTTTCGGGGTTTACGAGGTAAGGTGACTCTCACGACCGATGCAAAAGAATACTGAGTGAGATTGTTGTGTTTTTGGTTGAAATGACGACTGTCCTGTCCGACAGATATGTGCGAGGGCGCTGAGTGCTCAGCATTGCGCACAAAGGCTCGCGCCCCAGTCCCGCTTGCAGCAGCACCCACGACGCTTTTGTTGTCACCTGCTGTGCGCCGAACTCGATCTGCGACGCGGCCTCATCGCCGCTGGACAGGAGGATTGACAGGTCCTGAGGGCAGCAGGGCAGGGCGGGCGGAGGGGGCAGCCTTTGGGGGTTTCATGGGGGGTGACTAAGGCGCTGTCAGCGTGCTGCGTGAGGGTCTCGCAGGGGCAGGGGTTGTTGAGCGGAGACGGCGTTTTGATGTGGGTGTCGCTGGATTGAGGGCTGGGGCCGTGCGCCTGATGGTGAGAAGTCACGAGGGTGTGGGGAAAACCCCAAGACCCACGACTGTCAAGGGTGTGTATACCAAGTACATTCGCGGTGCAATCACGCAAGGGTTACGCTACGCCCCTGACTAGGAAGCCGCAGGCAAATCGGGGCCTGCCAGCCCCCAGGCGCCTGCCCACGCATCTCTGTGGTGATCGCGTCGAGCAGCAGCGGCCGCGGCCCCTGGAAGAACGCCCTCTCCCGCGGCGCCTTGTCAAGAAAGCGCGGGAACAGCCGCTTGATCGCGGCCGTCACGCTCGACGCGGCGTCCAGGATGCCGCTGTGGGTGCGGTAGTTGACGCGCAGGACGTCCAGGCGGGGCATGCCGACGGGCGGGCCCTTGGCGCCGGCGGCCTCGCGGCGCTTGCCCTGGGGGTGGGGCACGGGTTTTGATGCGAGGAGGGGGGGGTCGCACTGGGGGTCTGCAGCGGCGGGGTGCTGCGCTGGCGGGTGCTGCTGGGCGTGCTGCGAGGCATGATGCGAGGGTCGGGCGCGAAGTAAGCTTGCACCCATGCCGCCCCGAGAAATCTTTGCGACACTCAGCAAAGTGTCGGGGCCTGCAGATTTGACTTTAAGGATGCAGTGAAATTTCCAAAGGGCGGAAAGAGTGGTTCAAGCTCAACAGGAAACCCCTAACGGGAACGAATTGGCTCACCTCATTGTACAGCAGACTGGCCAGGGAGGAAGACGTGTCAGGACATCCAGCCAGAGGATACGACAGAGGCAGCATTGCTTTAGCAAGCGTGTGAACAGTGTTTACGTGGGTCGCCGCTCGCCAAAGCAGCGGTCTTCCGCCGGTCATAATGCAACCAGGCCCTCAGACTAGGCAGATGGCTGCGCTCTTGTGGAGAGCCATGTCATGCCCCTGACCCAGAGTTCCATCTGCCCAGCAGCAGGAAGGACTCACGTGCGCACGTCCTCGAAGCGGAAGCCCACGCCTCGCGCGATGGTCTGGCAGGTGTCGCCGCAGTAGAACAGCGCGTTGGGGTCCGCCAGCCGCACGTCCAGCAGCAGCTCCGCCTCTAGAGATGTGCGCAAGGCGTACAATGATGATGAGGCAGAGCTGGTGGTCGGGTGGTTCCAGGGGGTGGACTAAACAGTCGTATTCAGGGGCCGAGAGGGCGGTTCAAGGTGTGTGGCACGGACCAGCGAGCCAAGCGTGCTTGGACGGGTTGTGTTGGTGGCAGGTTTACACCCACGCACGCCGGCGGTCGGCCGCGATGCGGAAGTCGGGGAGACGCGCAGGCGGCTGCGGCTGCGCGGCCGCGCCGGCCGGCGGGGCCGTGGCCCGCGGCCGAGCGCGGCGCGCATGGCGGTCGTCGACAGAGCCCCTGCCGCTCGACCCCCCCCCCCCAGGCCTGATGCAGCAGATACGGCCCTGGCTGCAGCACCATGCCCATGAATACCGCAACACGTACTCGATCACGTCACAGTGACGTCATCGATCCGAGGATTACTCACGCGTGAAGTCCTGGACCTCGTCCCGGCTGACGCCGTCGATGCGTACGCCCTGGTACGCCCCCGCGCACAGCTGCCTGTAGATGTGGGCCACCATGTCGCACCTTTAAAGGGACGAGGTTGATTTGGGGGGCCACAGCAGGCGGGGGCGCAGCAGGCGGAGTTGGAAGGGTGGCCATGGGTTTGATGGAAATGACTCGTGCTTTAGCTATGGGGAAAGCAGGGGTAATTGAAATGGGACTCTATCTGGCTGCCAGAAAACGCGGCCAGGTTCCGCTGCCCACCGCCTGCAGCCGCGGCTGCCCAGCCGCCCGCGTTTTGGGTGCCCCACATCCCAGTCTCTCTGACGGCGGCAAGGCCATGCACGCAGCTCACTCGCCGGCACCTGCCTGATCCCACCTCCCTCCCAACTCTTCGCTATGCCGCGACACGTGCAAGGCATCTCAAACCTTTGTTAATCCATCAAAGCGATTGTCACAATGCTTGAATCTGGCTGCATATGTCCCTGTTCAAAGTCCCGACCGACACTCCCCGGCCATGACCATAAATCCCCCGCCGAAACCACCCTTCCAAGGCCGGCTCCACCCACCTGTCCCAGGCCCTCCTCTGCGCCTTGACCCTCTCGTAGGCCTCAAAGCAGCGGTACACCGAGCGCCGCAGCGCGTCGCCGTAGTTCGCGGCCCGTTTGCGGCCGATGACCTGGCGGCAGTTGTTTTGGTTTTGAGGGGGATGAGGATGTGGGCGGCAGCAGCGGCAGGGTTGCGTGATAGATAAATGCCATGTAGTTGGTTGACGGGTCATGTGGGTGGCCGGCAGCGGAATTTTCAGGAGAGAGGGCGCGCCCGCGTAGCAGATGTGGGGGCGGCGAGACACGGAGGCACCCAAAGCCGCCAGTGCGAACGCAACAAGGGCACTCGCAAGGAGGGGCCACGTGGGGCCCCTCAGCGGGGTTCGTGCAAATGGGGGGCACCAGCCGGGGCATGCCACACCAAGCGAGGCATTTGCAGAGCGTGGCTGCACCTCAAATCATTACCCCCCCTCTTGGCCCCCCTTCACGCCCACCCACCTCCAGGTATTCTGCGAGGCTCAGCCGCCCCCCTGCCTCCAGCGCCTCTGCAGAGCCCTTGATGTAGCTCGTGATCTGACAGAGAGGGACGCATGGGCAGACACACGCACGTGAGGCCGGGACAATGTGAATGTTGCTTCCGCTATGTGGGTGACCCCTACACTTTTTTGAGGGGGAGGGTCGGCCCTGAAATCACTCAAAAACAGCCTCAACCATACAGCAGCCAGTGCAGAGCTGCCTCATGTGCTTTCCCCCGCAAACCCCAAAGCTGACGGCGCACACAGGCTGAAGGGGCAATCCGCTGATCCGCCACCCGGCGCTGCGCCCCTTCACCCCTCCAACTCCCCGACTTGGCTCAGCACGGCGGTGCGGCTGTGTGATGGGTGATGTGCGCACTGGGCCGCACCTCTTGGTACACGAGCGGCGCCTTGAGGGCGGAACGCTCCTCCTTTGACAGCCCCCGCGTGACGGCCGCCCACATGTCGCGCCCCACAAACTCCTCGAAGCGTACCTCCATGCCGCGCAGGGCCGGCGCGTGGGCGGCGCCGGCTGGAGGGGGGTAATGAGCGCCGAGGGGCGGCAGCAAGGGGACGCGTGGGCGCGTGGTACGACGAGCCATTGGAGGGTTTGCGGGCACCGCTTTGCGCAGATGCTTGGCAATTTGACGCGCAATGGAAAATTCGGATCCCTCAGCAACCATTCTCAGACCCTACCCAAGTCCACCCCCCCAACCACCCCCTGTCATCCCTCCGAAAGCGCTCACCGTCGCGCGCCGCGCCCTCCTCGCCCTCGTCGCCGCCGCCCCCCTCCGACCCCCGGTCGCTGCCCGCCGGCCCCTCCTCCCCCTCCTCCTCCTCCTCCTCCTCCTCACCCCCCTCGCCGCTGCCGCCCTCCTCCTCGCTGTCCCAGCCCCCGAGCTCGACATGCAGCCCTATCCCATCCGCGTCCTCCCTGTCCTCCCCCTCCCCGCCGGGCCCTGCGAAGAAGGGCACGTCGCAGCTCGCGTCCAGCATCCGCAGCCACTGGGCCGTTGTGACGAACAGCGGGAAGGCCGCGCTGGGGACGTCGCGCAGGGAGGGGTAGTCGCGGGCGGCGGCGGCGGCGACGGCGCGCGCGTCGGCGGGGTCGGCGATGGCGGCGGCCTGCAGCTTGCGGAAGGTCCGGGAGACCTTTGGAGGAGGCGAGGTTGGGCGGGGGAGACGACACGCCGTTGGGTGTCTATCATGTGAGGATAGGTGAGCCCAGGGGGTTAGACAGGCACATGCGGAGGCGACCGGGGTCGCAGGACATTCATGTTTTGCTACAGTGGCTTGTGGGCCGGCGTGCCACCACAGGGGGTCAAGCGCGACGGCCTGACGGTGAGACGCGGGTCCGCGACCAAGATAGGGGTGGGTAACGCTCAACATCCACATTATCATGTGGGCTATGCACATTCAAGGGCTTTCAACGTGCACGCCGGCGCGCATGCGTTCACGCACGCTCACTGCCATCCTCTAACACAGGCACACACAGGCATACTCGGATGTGGATTTCGCCCCACCTGCTCCTTGAGTGTGGCGCTGGCGGTGATGAACACCTGGTGCTGGTGCTGGGAGTGGTGCTGGTAGCATGCCAGCCATCGGGCAAACATGCGGAAAACCAGGACCGTACTGCGC